TGTAAGCAGATAATATACCATGAACATTCTTCTCTATTAATGAAAACCTTTCAGAGTGTAGGTGTCCATGGTTTCGCATTTTTCAAGGATCTTGTTGAGGTCTGCAAAAACTTCTGCTAAGCCCTTTACTGTGAATTTTCTTGGGGATTCTTCTTATGGGACCACCATCATGTGCACAGTTCATCATTGGGCAAAAACCTCGTTATACAGCACATGACTGTAATTTCCAATTTTAGCATTCAAATATTTCCCAAGCCTAATATGTCTGTCTGCTCAATACTCCTATGGTAACAGGTAGAAAGAATTTGCCTATAAATTTTCATCAATTTTCTGCACTGTTTATTTATATTATGCAGTTGTAGATATATTGAATACAGGACAGATACAAGTAGTTTGCCACGATTTCTCGCTATACTTACTTTGTTCAGCCACTTTGTTAGCATTATGAAGTCTGGCTTATATAATGTGACTCAGATGTTTAGGTGTTTCTCTAATGCTAAAATAAAGTGTAGGGCAAAGCTGGCATTGAATTGACAGTTGATAGTACTATAATCAGTGTGTTTTTTAGAAGTATTTTACAACGACAATTTCTTAAATAATATCTATGGTTATTTTTATAAAATGTTTTATAGATGGGAAGTCACATGGAAATATATAATGTGGCAGACAGATTTAGGTTTGAATTCCAAACATCTCCCTTTGTGCTGTAAACTTGGACCAGGCACATTAACCCTTTGGGCCTTTATGTCCTTTTTTATTTATTTTATTTTATTTTATTTTATTTTATTTTATTTTATTTTATTTTATTTTATTTTATTTTTATTTTTGAATTTATTTTTATTTTTTATAGTTTTTTTAAATTTATAAATCATGTTTATTCTATTGCAGTGTCTCTATTTTTCCCCCTTTACCTTCCTCCACCCATCCCTCCCCTATCCCCTACTCCCAGTCAATTCCCACTCTGTTGTCCATGTCCATGGGTCATTCATACATGTTCTTTGTCTGGTCCCTTCCCCTTCTTTCCACCATTGTCCTCTTTCCCCATCGCTTCTGGTCACTTTCAGTCTGCCCCATGTTTCCATGCCTGTGGTTTATTTTGTTTGTTACTTTATTTTGTTGAATAAAGTCCACTTATAGGTGAGATCATACGGTATTTGTCTTTCATCAACTGGCTTATTTCACTTAGCTTAATATTCTTCAATTCCATCCATGTTGTTGCAAAAGGTAGGAGTTCCATCTCTCTCTTTCTCTTTCTTTTTCTTTCTTTCTTAAATGCAGATTGCTTTTATCTATTTTTTAAATGTCAAAGTTAATTATAAAATATTTAAAAAATGTAAAACCATTATAAAGTCTCAGCAATTAAACCAACATGACACCAGCACAGAAATAATCAAGTAGATCAATGAACTATAATGAGCATTCTAGAGACAAATGTATATGTCTGTCTAACAATGTAATATATGATTATGTTGATATTTCAAATCAATGGGTAAAATAAGGCTTTTTCAACAAATAAGGTGCATGGACGACTATTACTTGAAATAAAACAAATATAGAGCCCTATTTCACACATTATACAAGAAGTATTCAGGTGAATTAAAAATCAATATGTAAAATGTAAGGAGTTTTAGGAGAAAATACAAAATTATATTTTTCATGACCTGAAGTAAAATATTCAAACCCAGAAGCCATAAAGTAAAATATTGACAATATGACTATATTAAACATTTAAGACTGTACAGTAATATACGTATAAAAAAAGTTAAAGGACAAGTAATAGAATAGGAAAGTATTTGCAATACATCTAAAAAGGAGTTAATGGTTTGTTTGTTTGTTTTTAGGGAAAAAATTCTACAAACATTTAATCAAAAAATGGATAAAGAAAACCAAAAAGTCATTTAAAGCTTTTTTAAAATAATAGAAATAGGCAAGAAATATACAAAAACAGGTTTAGTTTCAACAAATAATAAAGGAACAATTAAAATAACACATTATTGTCACAATCAGATTAATAAGTATTAAAAAATATTGGTAATATCAAGTATTGGCAACTGTGAAAGGAATTGGGTATTCATAGAGTGTTTTTCTTCATTTTCTTAAAGCAGTTCCTTTAGCACATTCTGCAGTGCTGGTTTGGTGGAGGTGTATTCTTTTAGCCTTCTTTTGTCTGGGAAACTCCTCATTTTCACCTTCCATTTTAATTGAGAGCCTTGCTGGGTAGAGCAGTCTTGGTTGCAGGCCTTTGCTTTTCATGACTTGAAATATTTCTTGCCATTCCCTTATGGCTTGTAGTGTTTCTGTTGAGAAGTCAGCTGCTCACTGTATCGGGGCTCCCTTGTATGTTACTGCCTGTTTCTCCCTTGCTTGCTTTAGGATTCTCTGTTTGCCTTTGATATTTGCCATTTTAATGATGATGTGTCTTGGAGTGGGCTTCATTGGGTTCTTCTTGAATGAGACCCTCTGTGCTTCCTGGACTTGTGTGACTTTTTCTCTCCTCCAATTAAGGAAGTTTTCCATCATTACTTTTTTAAACACATTCTCTGTCCCTTCCTCCTCCTCTTCTCCTTCTAGTATCCCTACTATATAGATATTAATTTGTTTCAGGTTGTCCTGCATTTCCCTCAATGCCTCATCATTATTTTTGAGTCTTTTTTCATTTTCTTGCTCTTTCTGGGAGCTTTTTTCTACCTTGTCCTCCAGCTCACTGATTTGGTCCTTGGCTTCATGTAGCCAGCTTTTGATTCCTTCTACTCTGTTCTTCAACTCAGAAATTGTATTCTCCATTTCCTCTTGGCTCTTGTTGATAGTGTCTCTGTCCTTTTTCATGGTGATATAGTTTGCAGTAAGTTCCTCGTAGTTTCCCTGTAGTTTTTGGTAATTCTCTCTGAGCTTACTGAGCTCATTGAGCTTCCTTAGAACTGTTATTTGGAACTCAATATCTGATAGTTTATTTGCCTCTGTTTCATTTAGTTCTCTTTTTGGGGATTCCTCCTTTCCCTCGAATGGGGAGTGTTTCTCTGTCTTCCCATTATTTGCGAGACTCTTCTTTTTTGCTTCTGATTCTTAAGTTGATCTGTCTTGACTTCCTGACTTTGTGGTGTGAACTTCTACGGTAGGAGACCTGTGAGATTCAGTGGTGCAGTCTCCTTCATCTCCTGAACTTGGTGCTCTTTGGATACCTTTTATGACATTTATGTTGACTCTCTGGAAGTAATTTGGTTTTGATTATTGTTTGGTTGTTCTTTGGTGGGTCCTACCCTTCAGCCTGTTGCCTGAGGGTCACTCTGCCCATCACATCTTGTGTGTTTATATTCAGGGTCTGCCACTACAAAACAGCAAATCCCAGGAAACAAACACACATCCACAAAAATAACTCTTCCCTGTAATCCCACTATCAACAGCAAATGAACCAGTATTAATAAGGCTGTAAAGAGATTCAGACTATTATAAGAAAGGAGAGAAATAAACTCTTAGTATAAAATCTAATGACTTAATATGCACAAACTTGATGGACCCAAAATGGACGTTAAAACCCATGTAGTAACGAAAATACCGCAAATCATGGAGAAGACCACAGTGGATTTTGTCTTGGTAGCCTCTAGTATTTACCACTGCTCTTTCTTTCTGGATCTGCCTCTGATGACATCAGGTGTTTGACCCCTTCTGACGTTAGGCAGTCCATTAGAGACTTCCAGGAATCTACTGTCTGTGGCTGTCTCTTTCAGTTGTTAATTTAGGCACTCTGCACTCAGCAGTCAGGCTTAAGCACCACCAGGCCAGGGCAGAGCCCCCTGGAATTGGGGCCATTGTGTCTTCTCATGCTGGTGCCACTCAGGGGAGTAGTCTGCCTGAGCAAGATGGCTGCTGCTGTTTGGGGGAAGAGTCAGCACCTGGATCCCACCAGCTACTCTCTCTTCTCTCCCCAAAGCCTCCATCTCCACTGTTTCCTCAAGTGTCTGTGGTCTACTCTTTGCCCCCTTTAGCCAGGGATCTACTCTCTGTGGCTGCTACTCTGCCCTCAGCAGTCAGACTTAGTCATCACAGGGCCAGGGCAAAGTCCCTCCTGGGAGTCAGGCTATTGTGTTCTCTCACTCTGCCACCACTCATGGGAGTGGTCTGCCTGAGCATGATGGCTGCTGCCATATGAGGAGTCAGTACTGGGATCCTGCCGGCTATTCCCTCAGTTCTCTCCCTAAAGCCTCCTTCCCCAGTCTCTCCTCAGGTGTCTCTAGCCCGTTCTGCCCCTGTCTTTGCCAGAGCCTAGGGTAAGTGGCTGCAAATAAAAAGTTATGCATTGGCCCTTTAAACAGTTCCTTGAGTCTCCAGCTGCCTATCTCCGGCAGAGATCAACCCTGCCGCTTTTCACAGCTGGCTGTCATCTGCTACTTTTTGTGCTCTGGGGCTGTAGGCTGGAGGTCCCTGCTTATGGTTTTGACCTAGCTCTTCTCAGGGGGATCCAATTGGCCATTTAAATATCCTTCTCATCCTGCCACCTATGGATGTCCCACTCACCTTCTCGAGTCTCTTCAGCACTCCTCACCGGTTAGGTTGTGCTAAAGCTGAATTCTCCTGTCTGTCGGAAGTTACAAAGCTCCTCTCTCGCTATAGTTCTTTTGTTTGTTCCAGGTGATTTCTCCACAATTTAGTTGCAATTCCAGATTGGTCCTGGGAGGACGTTAGTGTGATTTCCATTCACTCCTCCACCATCTTGCCTCCACTCAGTCTTTAGTTTTTCAATTTTCCTAATTTGACAAGGAAAAAAAACCTGATATGTCAAGTTGGTTCTTAAAGTTTGAAAGTAGATGTCTTTTTTGTAATGAGTATCTTTCAAACTGTCTCAGGAAAAGGCATGGAAAGAAGCTACTTTTGCAGTCAGATTTCTATATTGAAATGTAACATGTTCCAATTTAACTGGAATAATCAGCATAATGGGAATAAAAGTAAATGTAACTGATAACATTAATTTCCTAATAGTAGTTTTTCCTTTGTGGTGGTTTCAGATTGAGAAACTCGATGCCCGAGGGATCCAGCTTGCTGCCCTCTTCATGAGTGGGGTTGACACAGCTCTGTTTGCTAATGATGCCTGTGGCCAGCCAGTCCCTTGGGAGCACTGCTGCCCCTGGATTTACTTCGATGGCAAGCTATTCCAGAGCAAGCTAATTAAAGCAGGCCGAGAGCGAGTATCCCTGATTGAGCTCTGTGATGGCCAGGTACCAGCGTGTCGGGCAGCTGCTAAGAGCCATTTCTGACCTGCTGTAGGATTGAATGGGCAGGGAGGGGAGCAGAGGAGAGACATTGGGAAAGAGGTAGCAGAAGCGGGAGAATGTGTCTGACCTTGACTTAACTTGGTCGACGATAGTCTCAAAGGCCCAGAGTCTGAAGTACATGTTATAAAATCATTTGCTGGAAAGCTTTTTTTCTTCTTTTTTCTTTTGTTTTGTTTTATTTTAAATTTTTTATTGTTGTTCAGTGACAGTTATCCCCATTTTTCCTCCATTGCTGTCCCCTGCCGTGCCCATCCCCCCATGCCCATATTCAGTCTTCCCCCTCCCTCCCATTGCCCTTCTCCATGGGTCCTTTATACATGTTCCTTGATGGAAAGCTTTTTTCTTATTGTCTTCATGTTTTCATATTACTTTTCTTAATCTGAGTATTTTTCCCTGTGAAATACTCATATACTATATGTTTTTCCTCCAGTTTTTAGAATTTTATCTCCCTTATTTAAAAAAAACTATAAGTCAGTTCTGCAAGTGATGATATTTTTTTGTAAAGGAACTATGTTTAGAAATAGAAGAGGGTAGTGAAGTAGGTAATAGTAGAAATGGGAGAGTTTTGTTTTCTTTTTTTGCAATGGAACTTTCGGAAAGATAGGGGGAAGAAAGGGAAAGGAATCCTAACTTACTCCTGTATTCATTTGGGGGGAACGAGCTGAAGGACTAGAGCTGTGGTCATCAAAGTACCCCAAATTCCAAAATTTGGAGCTTTTGTTTCCATAAAATTTTATTGGAGCACAGCCACATTCATGCATTTGTGGCAGAGTAGAATAGTTGTAACAGAGACCATATGGCCCACAAAGTCTAAAATATTTACTATCTGGCCCTTTTCAGAGCAAGTTTATTAACCTTTGGAGTAGAGACATAGACTTATTCTGGACAGGTCAGGGTGTCTGATCCCAGGTATGGAGGAGAAAGTTGAAAGGCTTATGAATATGTCAGGGTTTTGTTCTTCTCTCTTTTACCTGATTCAGTTACCTCCCACTTAAAAGATGACCTATTGCTTGCCAGGTAGTAGACCATCAGTAAATATTTATTGTTATCTTTGTCTTTCTTGACCTAGTCAATGTGCCTCACAAGTCCTCAATAAGAACTAGTATGATGGTAGTACAGCGTTACATGAAAAGTGGGGGCTTTGGTGCCAGACAGGCTTTCCTGAGTGTCACCTTGTCCATTTAACTTCATGCCTTGCTTCTCTTAATGTGAATAGACTTGTGAGACTGTATCTAGAGTGCCCAAAAAATACTGTGCCTGAAATTGAGAAGTTCAAAATTGGCATTTGCTATTATTATTCTGTTTCTTGTTTGAAGGCTGACCTGGCAACCAAAGTGGAAAAGATGAGACAGAGTATCCTGGAAGGAATCAACATGAACTATCCACCACCTTCTGCTCTACTTCCATCACCTACTTTTGTGCCTCCCATGGTGCCCTCTCTCTATCCTGTTTCACTTTATTCTCGAGCCGTGAGCTCAATGCCACCTCCCCCTCAAGGAAGGAACCGAGGGTTTGCAGGTCAGTACCTAAGAATAAGGTATTTGTCATCTCCTATCTGTTTCATAATAACCAATCCAGTAATTATTGCCAGTTACAGAATTAGCAGTGCCAAATATATAGTATCTCATTTACCTTCTCTACTGTATTGTGGTAATTTGCAGAGGAGCTTATTGAGAAAAAGGGCTGTAATCTGAGGAAGAAAGTCCACTGACTTCACAGACCACTCTCCATAGAGGTGGTTGATCCCTAAGAATTTGACTCTCACCAACCAAACTCCTGAAGTAACTGATGTAGAAGCCAGGAGCTACTTAATTGCTTTTGAGAACTATAATTCACATGAACTGGATCTTCAGGGTTGCTGGTTTGATCTCTCAGTCCCCATCAGGCAGATATAGAGAGAGGAGTTTGCAGGAAGAGCAGTAGGAGGTGACAGTAAATGACCATTGTCTGCATATGAGCATAGCATGCTGTACCCACTTTCACTCTGGGGGTAGATCTGATACATTTCCAGAAGCACAGAGAGAAATAAGTTATAGAGCATGCCTTTCAGGGACTGTAGCTTAGTGGGGAAAGCACACACCAACACTCACAAACATGCATAAATTTTTAAATTATGGTGACACATGAGCTGCAGCTTAATGATGAATACACTGTCATGCTTAGGTAACTGAGATCCCGATCCTGATAATGCAAATTACTTGTTCCCTGGTAAAATAGGATATTTTAATGAGGACATTTTACCATGAAATATGGAGATTCTATGATCAGGTGGGAAGGTTATTGCTATGGTTGCTGTGGTTGAAGGTATTTGTTGTCTGCTGCTTGTCCCTTTAAAAATAAAGCTGGAGCCCTGACCGGTGTGGCTTAGTTGGTTGGGCATCATCCCACAAGGCGAAAGGTCGCCAGTTCAATTCCCCAGTTGCGGCGCATGCTTGGGTTGCTGGGGCACATACGTGAGGCAACCAGTTGATGTTTCTCTCTCACACCGATGTTTCTCTCCCTTCTCATCCTTCTAAAAATAAATAAATAAAATAGTTTTAAAATTCTAAAAAGTAAAAAAAAAAGCTGGAGGTTGAAGTTTGGGTTAAATTTAGGGTCATAGAATTCAGTATGAATGTTTAGTTTAAGGCTCTGCTTACATGCGCAGTGAGATGTCTGCTCTGATAACTCTCTTTAGCCAGCTAAAGACCAAGTCTTACAAACCAGGGAGGCAGCCATTCGTTTCACCCTTTGAAGGTGGCTTTATGGCTCTCCACTCTCATTCTTTGCTTGTTGATTTTATTGTGTTTCAGAAGACAGAATTACTACCAGGTTTATAGGAGGTCCTCACCATTGCCCCAGGTCTCAGTGATGCTTAGTCTCCAGTTATGAGTGGTTCATGAGGTGTCTCCTGCCTCCTGAAAGACCACAAGATCCCCCAAATGCAAGTCTTTCTTGCCCTCTTAGTACTAGCTAGCACTGTATTCCCTTAGATTCCTACTTTTATATAAATGAAGGGCTCATTACTAATGACTTGCTAAATGAGTGAAGGGTTAAACACATTTAGGTTTTCTCCATAAATTAATATTTAAAATTTACTAGAACTTTGTATTCTGTGAAGGATTCCTTTTGTGTCCAATTACAAATTTCTACTTTGCGTGTTTGCTCACACACAGAGTTGGAATTTCCTATTTTAAGGTGATATGCTATCTTGTTTTGAATTTGTTCTGGCTTTAAACTGTTGCTATCCTTGCTTTTTAGTGATAACTTACTGTGTAGTTTCATTGTTTTCAGTTTCATTTGGTTGCTTGGGTAATCCTCCAGGGTGTAGTGACATGTATTTAAATCAAAAGTGGTTTTGGCCTATAATTTTCCACTAATTATAAGACATTCATTGTCTCAACAAATATTGGATGCCTACTATGTGCCAGGCTCTGTAGTTGAAAAATTAATCATCTACAGCCTACTTGCTAAAGTGGGTATGTATAGATCGTCAACTTCCTGTCCCTAAATTTGCTTCCACCATGACCCTTTGTTGTTATTGTGTAGTCGTTATCATAGAGAAATGGAAAACAGCAGAGTAGGTGAGCTATAGGATCTTCTGTTCCATCTCTTACCCAGCCTTGCACTTAAATCTCATTACTGCCATTCTTCCTCTCTTTCTAGGTCTCCATCCAATCCCACCCCAAGGAGGAAAACTGGAGATTGCTGGGATGGTTGTGGGCCAGTGGGCTGGCAGCAGATCCTCCAGGGGCCGAGGCTCCTTTGGCATGCAAGTGGTTTCTGTTGGTGGGCCGGGAAAGGGGTAGGTATTCGAATAGGTTGGTTTGGGCTAGTATCAATCAAAGTACCCTTGGGAATTTTCCAACTATAGACTCCTTCTATTAAGGTAAGAGGCATTAACTAACTTTGCATTTTTAAAGCCAGTTTTCAGTTTAGTTCAGGAAACATAAACTAAATGCCCTGCCTCGATAAAAAAGTTTTTGCCCCTAGAGAAGGATGTGGGACACAGAACAGTTTAGTATGATACATAAATGAAAGAAATAGAGATTTACAGTGGTAGCACAGAGGAGGGGCATCTAACTTATAAAGGTCAAACTTCTAAGAGGACGTGAGTTGTTAACTAAGTAAAAATGGGGTATGGGCTTTATATATTCCTCATGATCACTTTTCCCCCCACTTTCTAAAGGCATGGAAAAGAACAGACTGGTAGAGGATCCAAAGGACCTAAAAAAGGAAATAAACAAGTAAGCACCTTTTTTTTTTGAGATTTTTTAGCTTCTCTTTGATAACTCTTGTCTTTTCAGCTAAATTGTAAGAGGTCAGATTAGGCATGAAAACCTGGGAGCTTTCACAACTTCTCCTGGCATTTGATTTTATTCCCCTGCTCCCTGGCTGTCTGGGGAGGAGAGCGAGATTGCCTAGGCTGTTTCCACAGGGCTGCAGAGTGTCATCCTTTTCACTGAGTTAGGCCAAGGTACAAACTTGGTACTCTGACACCTTGGTACCTTAAAACAAGGTACAGTGTTTGAAGACCTTTATGTAGCATGATATGTGCTACATGCAGCCATAAAGGGACCAGACTGAAGTTGATAGTAGGATTGCCAACAATATGCCTGAGCTTCTGAGGGGCTACCAGAGATGCTTAGAAAATTGGACTTCAGCCTTTGCTGAATATGCGCAGGGAAGAGGTGTTACCATTCTGCTTATTCTTAATGGCTTAGAATGGTCTCAAACTTTTCTTCTATTTATTATTATTATTATTATTATTATTATTATTATTTTGTCCTCACCTGAGGACTTTTTTTTCATTGCTAGAGGAAGGGAGAAGGGGGGGGGGGGAGAGAGAGAGGGAGGGAGAGAGAGAGAAACATCAGTGTGAAAGAGAAACATCGATTGCCTCCTGTACGTGCCCCGGGGAGTCAACCTGCAACCTAGGTATGTTCCCTGACTGGGAATTGAACCTGCAAACTTTTGGGGCACAGGACAACACTCCAACCAACTGAGCCACACTAGCCAGGACTTAAACTTTCTTTTAATCTACACCTTGAATTATATCACAGTCCCCACTGGTCTTCATTAGACATGCTCCCAGTCCCCTCCCCCAATATGAAGGAGTATTCTTGTAGTGATTTAAAACCTTGTATTGGACTCAAACTCCTGGCCTCCTCATAGTATAGCAGCTACCATTTCTTGAATGCATACTTTCTACCGAACCCTCTACCAAACATTTTACAGTTTCTAATCCTCACAAGGGTCACTGACTAGACCATACTGCAATGCAACTTTAATGTCAGTTCTCAATCTTAAATCAGCTCTCCTGTATACAACTAGACCTCGCTGTATCCATCCATGTTAACCCCCATTGTCTGATGTTTCCTCAAAGAATACAGATTTGCTTTAATGTTATTTTGAACCAAAAATGGAACTAGAATGGTAAGTCCCCCACACAAAGCATTTTGTAATGCACTCCAAAGCCAGAGAGCAATAACCTTGGAATTTTTCCAAAGTTTCTCAGCTTTTCCTAGAAGTTTTTTAGTAAGGTAATAGGGATTATACCTAGGAGGAACACTGGTCACTAAGATAAGCTCCCATAAGGGAATACAGTCTTGGGGAATTGACCGTGATTCAGGGTCTGATCATTAGGCATGTAGTCTGAAAAACCTCATATTTTTGGTACAATAAGAGTGGGTTCCTCTCTCGGTGGTTTATTCACATTAACCAGGATCATGGATAGTATGTGGATATGGCTGAAAGAGTAGGGGGTTAGAGATGAGAAGGGAGAGAGTGAAAGATAAAGTTATTAACTTACAATACAAGAAATAATTACCATGATATATTATACACTTATTCTATTCCAGTAATTCTTATAAATTCATGTGAAGTATTTATTATTCTTTATTTTATTATTTATTTTTAGAAAGAGAGGAAGGGAGGGAGAAAGAGAGGAAGAAAAAACATCCATGTGAGAGAGAAACAGTGATCAGTTCACACGTGCCCCAACTGTGGGACCATGACCGAATCTGCAACCCAGGCGTGTGCCCTGACTGGGAATCGAACCAGTGACCTTTCATTTTGCGGGACAATGCCCAACCAACTGAACCACATCAACCAGGCCTATCCTTTATTTTAAACAGGAGGAAACTGAGGGCTCAGAGGGATGAAGCATCTTGCCCAAAATTATCCATCAAGTCAGTATCAGAGTTGACATTTCAGCCTGAGCTGACTGAATCCAAAGCCATGTGCTGTGCCAATTCCAGCACAGTATAACAATTCTAATTGTTAGAAACGAGAGTTAGACCTTGGTCTGACTGACTCTAGTGTCTGTGCTCTTAGCCATGTCTACCAGAGCTTACTTTCTCTAAGTGCAAACTACAAGGGAGCCCACAGTATCAGAAGTTTGCTTGGGGTCATGAAATCATAATGATAAAAGTAGCTGGCATTTAATGAGTTCTTACCATGTCAGGCAGAACATGTCTTAAGTGCTTTACAGTGAGTGCCTCCTTGAACCCCTATAGGAACCTATGATGCTATTCTATTTCACAGATGAGGAAACTGAGGGAAAACCAGGGATGGTAGGTCATGCTAAGTTTCTCTAGGCTAAGCTTGCTGGGGGCACTATTATCCACTCTAGAGGTAGCCTGGTCAAGGAAGTCTTCATACTGACTTTGTTCTTAGGCAAGAGATCTTCACTGGTCAGAGCTGCCATTGATTGTCATGCTAACTCTCCTTTTTCTGTTCAGTCACTCTTTCTTCAGAGTGTAATATAATTTATTGTTCTAGCTTATTAAATCTGTTTACATTATAGTCCTGTCTTCTTGAGAGTATTCCTCGGTCGCTGGAGTTTTGTGTGTTTTCAAATTCTTAAGTCACATATTTGTAATGTTTTACTTCCTTTGTTGACTCCCTCAGGTGGCTAATTCCATCCATTGTTTTGATTTTCACTAGTTTTTTCTTATTTCCAGATTCTTGAGCAGCAGTCACAGTAGCCCCCATATTGTACAGGCTTTGAAGCCAAATGATCTAGCTTTGAATCTGGCTCTGCCACCGACCTTGGTCAAGTTATTTAACCTCTGTGCCTTAGTTTTATCACCTGTAAAATGGAAAAGTTGGTATTTACCTCAGAAAGTTAAATAAGATGATATTTGTAAAGTGTTTAGCACTGATCCTGAAACATGGGAAATACTAGATTTGTAGTTATTATTTAAAATTAACCACCAATTCAATAGGAATTAGATTTCCATTATGTATTGTATCATAGTGGAAAGATCAAAGTCTTTGGCATCTAGAGACTTGGATCCAAGTCTAAGCATGCAAATGACGTTGGGCAAGTCTTTTTACTTTTTTGAGCCTCAGTTTTCATGTCTATAAAATGAACAACAGATTATCTGGCATGCCTAACTATTTAGTAACTAAGCCGTCATTATTTGATAACATTCATCGAGAGGCAGCACTCTACTGCAAGGTAATGCAATTCATGTCATTAGCATTTCAATAACAGTCACATTCCTGGAATTGAAAGAAATACAGGTGATGTTTTTAGTTATGAAAGATTCTGAGAAATACTGCACATAGACCTCATGGTTTGTTTTCCTTTCCTTTCGTTTACATGTCCAGCTGTCAGCATTGTACAGCATCGCATGACAGTTAAAAGAATAGACTTTAGAAGCTGACTGACCTGGAGTGGAATCCTGGTCCCACCTTTTTCCTTTCTGTCTCTATCTGGGTGTCTTTGAGCAGGTGACTTCAGTCTCTCTGAGCCTCAGCTTCCTCATCTGTAAATGGGGCATGATAATATCTACCATTTAGGGTCCCCATTAGTATTAGAAAAATATATTGTAGAGCTTGTAAATGCTAGCTGTACCATTATTATGCTGTCATTGCCATTGCATTTCAGTCAGATCCGTCTGTTGTCACCCTAAGTTCTCTGGGTAATACCAGAGTGTATTAGATGTTAACAAGCATTGGGCTTTCTGGCTTCTTTGAAGAACTGAAGCAGCTTCTGCAGGCTAACTTATGAGCATGATTGGGAAGGGTCAGCCAGTTTGGGATTACCATTTCCACTGAGTATGTCTATTTTTGATGCAGGGCATTTCAGATGGAGTTTCTAAATCCCTGGAGCCTTATCAAAGTCAGTCTTGCTCACAGATAAATGGAAACAATGGCGCATTGATCAAGGAAGAGAAGAGTGATCATCATCTTCCAGCTCCATCACAGTGTGCCTTATCCAGAGACAGCAGCATGTGTAATAATGTTAACCGCTACTTCCCTGTGAAGAACGAGGAGAAGAGCCACTTGGGAGAGCAAAAGCTGGAAACTGTGGCACAACAGAAAGAGGAATAATAAGCTGCAGATGGCTTTACCAGATCAGGAAGAAGGGAAAACATGTACTTATCTGATTTTAGGCCCAAGTTAGAGGAGGACATAAATGCTTACCATAGATTTATCCAGGATTTTGTTGGGATGTTCTATTCTATCCATCTTTTTCCCTTCCCTGTCTTTTTCTGGGCCTCCACACCTAGCGATCTGCTTCTGAGGAAGATCTGGTCAAAAATGAATGACAATAGGACTGGCTCCTTTTGTCAAATTCAATATAAAATGCCAGTATTCTCTTTACCTCCCCTGGGAGCCTAGTAAGGTAGTGATTGTAAGAAATTGGTGTCATCACATATGATCCTATATAGAAAAGTTCCGTCTTTGGTTTTCTGAGTCTTCATCATGATACCCATTTATAAAACCCATGGAGTAGTAGAGACAGCTGCCTATGGCTTCCTAACTTGTTTTTGCTCTATGAACTACTGAGGCCTGTGTCTATAATCAGTATCCACCTCCTCACTCTTTTTCCCCAGTCACCAACCCCAGGATTTTGTACCATTGCCTCTAGCACTGGCCTGACAATCAGATAGGTAGATGTTTTCAGGAAAGTGAAATACTGTTGGTTATTTTATTTTATTTTATTTTATTTTTTGTTTTATTTTATACAGTTAAAAAAAAAAACAAAAACTACCAATGGCCTTTGTACTGGGGGATTCAAGTGAGTCAGAAAAGTACTAGGCAGATTTTTCCTGCCTCTGAACTAATGCATTGTTTGTAAAATAGAAGATGTGGTGCAGTTTGCCCACTCCCTGCTGCCCACACCCTAAAAGGGTGGGAATCAATGTAATGAAACTGAGTACGAAAGGGAACTCAAAGGAGTGTGTGTGCGCGCGCACGCGTGCCTTTGTGTATGGGTGTGTGCGTGGATGTATATATGAATGCATGTATCTATATGCATACACATACCCTTTATATAAAGAGACAGATCTATTTATCTATACACATTTTATATATAAATATATGTATATGTGTGTATATATCTATATATCTACATAGATATATAGATATATTCATGCATGCATACATACATACATGGTGATGTCCCAGAGGATTTACTGAATTGCCCAGAAACGCTTCCACTGCTATGGAGTGGTGGGTTTCAAAAGACCACACTTTAAAATTCTTACTAAGTCATAGCCCATCACAGTTATGAGAAGATGGGTTTCTCTAAAGCAGACAAAATACTTTCCAGAGATTGTCTGCTCAGAACAACATTTGAACAAGCCAATATTTGGCTTGTCACAAGCTTACCTTGAACTGAGACCTCACATCCCATACGGTGAAAACAGGAGGTTGGAATGGGATTGGGAAGATTTGGGCATTTCCTTACGAAAGAGCAGCCTGGATCTTAGAGAGAAGGGGTGGGAGGTAATTACCAGAGCTTGCAGCCAATTTGGAGGAAGAGTCATCTGGAACTCCAGGATCAAACTGCCCTCAGGCTAGAATTGATTGCCGTGAGTACCTGAAGAAGAGAGGACTAGCATTGGAAAGATGGGGTAGGGAAGTGTAAGGAAATCCGCAACTTGATTTTACATGCCTAGATTGTTTCATTTGTTCATCGACATTTTGACTACTGGATCTTTTCATTTGCTTTGCAAGGAAGGCCTCAGGAACTCTGGCTTGGACCTTTAGCGATATATTCTGTAAAGGTTCCTAGGACAAAGAGGCTATTCCTTGCCAGAGATACTCTTGAGATGACCTTGCATTTCCAGTGTCCCTCCTCAGCAGTCTCAGTCTGAGGGATGGGAACACGGCTTGCTACATATTAGCACTGTGCCTTCATTCAAGAATTGAGGCTTTTGGCCTCACACACCTCCTTTTGGGCTTTGTGATATTCTTGCCAGAGAAGTATCATTTCTACAGGAATTCACTTGACTAAACTTCCAGCAGGGTTCTCTTTCTTTTTGAAAAACCCCACGCACTTTCACCCACTGCAGGTCTTCGGTGATTTCTTTCCAGACAACCAGAAGGCTGTTTCGTACTACCCACTTACAATTAGTGCATCATTGAGAGATTGAAAACAGCCTCAGGCTGTTTGATCTTAGTCTGGCCCAATTTAAGAGAACCTACAATTTGCAGCAGGGAGAGAGCCCTAGAATGCCTCTTCCCCTGCCCAGACATTTCTTACACAAACCAAAGCAGGATGACAAGAGTGCACACCTAGCCAGATATAACCAGGAACAAAGTGTACAAAAGCCTCCTCTTTGGAATCGGGTTTCTAATTTGGTCCCCCCTCCTCTTGGACCTGCCCAACCTTTCACAACATCCTGAAGGTTAGGACTGCTATACCCAGCAAGAGAGGGATTTAGTAGCGAACTTACATGGCTTGGAAATTTCTTTCTGGAGCAGCCGAGGGAGGAATCCTTAGGAGCTCAAAAAGTAACCAGTCACTGAGCTGTGTTAAATTAAATCTGTCTAGATCTCCATTTTCTAATAGGGAGTACTTGGAGTTATGTGGAAAAGTATTTTCTTCAGTTGCTGTTTCTATGTATCTTGAATCTATTTGATACAATCAAATGACAGTATTGTTAACTCTCACAGCATTAAGATTTCTTATTTTGTAGGCATTCACTGTGAGAAGTACAATTGCTGCTTTGACAGGGGTGATTCCAGTTTGTCAAAAGGCTTGCTTTTCTCCCTTCCACAGACCTCCACTTTCTCCTAGCCTGGCCCAGGGTGAAACAAGTGGTTCACTTCCAACCTTGATTTTTATTTAGATTCAGTATTTTGGGTTTGGAAGATTATAAAAATGAACCATAACGGGCCATATTCATATATTTTAATTTATCTGCCAAAATACACAATTTAGAAGCCAAAAAGACTTAGGTGTTCATTACTGGGAGATGAATTTTTCTTTTTTTTTAAGATTTTATTTATTTTTAGACAAAGGGGAATGGAGGGAGAGAAACATCAATGTGTGGTTGCCTCTCGCATGTCCCCTTGTGGGGACCTGGCCCACAACCCAGGCATGTGCCCTGACTGGGAATTGAACTGGCGACCTTTTCGTTCGCAGGCTGGCACTCAGTCCACTGAGCCACACTAGCCAGGGCCAGGAAATGATTTTTTTCTAATGGAGGACAAACTGGTGAAGGCAGAGTTGATCTTTGCCATGAGTACCACTTGAAGAGACTGTCATCCTTCACTTGAGGTTCCATTTCTGACAATAATGTGGCCTCTCTCTAAGAAAGTCATATAGGAACCGAAGAAATGATCCCTTTACCTTGTAGGGCCACAAGCAAAAGCCCCCTGGTTGTATATAGACACTGATCCCCAAGGACTTGCAGTTCTTGATTTCTGCTGATGTGCCTTGGGATCAACCTGTGACTCCCGCCCTTATTCAGTGGCCAGTCTGGTCTGGACCAGGTCTGGAAAACTTCTGCTCAGTTGCGTCATTTCATTCTGAGCCCATAGGACTTCGGGCAGACTTTAAAGCCCAAGAAATGGCATGCACGTTATCTAGTGACATTTGATTTTTTTTGTCTCCATCTTGAATTTCTGGCATTGTTGGCCAAGTCACATTAACTTTTTTTTGATCACTGAGAAAAACAGCCAGACAAGGCATTAGGGAAGATGGTTAAGGTGGGGAGAGGAGGAATGCTTATGTAGGGTAGAAAGAATGTGGAAGTCACTGCTTGGTTATAGTGGTCCAGTCCATTCGAACCATAGAAGGCTCCGGGTGAGCATGTCAGTGCTACCTTTTGAGCCTCTAAGACGCCCCTCCTTTGAAATGACAATACAAGTAAACAACATTTTCAAGTAGTTAATATAATTCTACTAAGGTTTAATCATATTTGTTCACTTCCTGATGCATATTTCTTAAATATGCATGGGGTTTGGGGGTGGGGGGGTAAGTTTTCACTGTTCCATTGTATGTCACCCTATATTTTTCTCCCTCTTGTGACTTTGGCATTTTCTTTTATTTGACTTTACATTTTCTTTTCCCTTAGCTTATTGCAGTAGTCTGCTGGTGCAGGTAGAGCTCAGTGTACCTATTCCCCTGTTACTGATAATTATCTTCAGTATTGCCAGAGGTTGTTTTGATGTTCTAAGAAAGTAACTTCATTTTTCACAAAATCATGTTTACCAAGTTAAAAGCAAAAATAAAATAATCCCTTATTCTAGGGTGCTCATTTCAGGTTTTGGCATTGCTCTTGTACTCTTATAGATGCTCTCTTGCCCGTGTTGGTAGTAACTAATGACTAGTGAATTTTCATGTAAGTGACACAAATATTTCAGATTTTATTAATCTCAACCCTGCCAAATCTGATGACTTGATTTTAGTTACTTCTCAGAAGATAGTTCCCCTCCCATCTTTTCTTTTCTTTAATTCTATTTTTAGAATAACATATTAGGTAAAGAAACTTTAACTGCAAGGAGTTAATGTTTTATTTTTTTTGTGTGTGCTCCCTGATAAATGATGTTATTGTCAAAAATAAGAAATTCTTTCATTGTTTTTTCCTGTGTTAATATCTCTTTTGTGCTCTTGACAGTGTGTTTAGTGGATGGATAATATGTATCTCTCTTTCCCACTCCCAAATTCCAAATTCCCTGCCTTTTTGGCCCACCTCACCACAAAAGCTCCATAGTTGTTTAATGTAAGTTTGAATGGGTGCTTCTTAGGGGAAACTGCAGCAGTTAAATGGAAATGTTTCAGAAAGGAATGAAAATGTCTCAGGAGTTGTTCTGTGATGGAAATTGGTTTGTCGTTCTGTTAATGCGATGGAAAGAAACTTACAGTGCTTAATAAAAGTTTATTCTTTTAGTAAAAAAATTGTTGAATAACTTTGGGTGTGTGAAGTTTAATTTCTTCTCCTACTTCTGCATCGCTTTCAGCACATGGAGGATATACTTGTCTCAATGCAGAAATATTGGTCAGAGATTTGGAGCCTGTTTGTAGTTGAATATCAAGACAAGAAAGCTAGTATGAGAATCATCAAAAGGAAGGGCATATTTTGCTTCCTGCTGAACTTCTTTATTTGGATGTTCTAAAGGAAGTTTTGACTGGACAATTCCCAAACTGACCCCATCCTCTCCTTCGGAAGCCTACTCCTCTCCATGACTGACACTACCTTCTACTCAGTTGTCTAAACCACAGACCAGTGGAGTTATCCTAGACTCATGCCTTTCTCCCATTTCTCAAATCATGACAAGCTCTTTTGATAGCACTCAGCCATCCTTCTATTTCTCACGTCTGTGTCTTTTCTGTCCCTGCTGCAATGGCTTAGTTTAGGCCTTCTCAGGTGTCACCTGAATTGTTGCACTTGCTCCCCTGTCTCCCTATCCAGCCAATAGTAAGAAACATTTGTCTTAAGTGTTACGTACCTTTTCCTGGTGAAAGGGCTCATACCTTTGTTCAGGTTCTTTTTTAATTTAATTTTTATTTTTTAGAGAGAGGGGAAGGGAGGGAGAGAAACAGTGTGAAAGAAAAACATCCAAACCCCCAACACAGGCCTGTGCCCTGATTGGGAATCTAACCAGTGACCTTTCACTTTGCAGGATGATGCCCAACCCACTGAACCACACCAGTCAGAGTGCTTTTTAAAGAAAAAAGTTTTTTTAAGGTTTATTTTATTCTCATTTGAGAAAGGGGAAAGGGGAGAGAGAAACACCAATCAGCTTCTTCCACATGCGTCCCAGTGAGGGATTGAGCCCGCAACCCAGGCATGTGCCCTGACTGGGAACCCAACCATCGACCCTTCAATTACTACAGCATGATTCTCCAACAGAGCCATAACATCCAGGGCCAGAACCACTGCTTTAATCCAACCATGCTTCTCAGTTTCCAGAGTAATCTGTCCTTGGAACATGCCGCCTGCACACCCACTTCCATTGTCCCTTCATGATGTGGCCCCTGACTGCTTCTCTAGCCTCATTTCCAATTACCCCTTAGCCCCTCAAATGACACTAAAGTGCATCCCCATAAACATTAAGCTGTTAATATCCATTTCTTTTCATTTGCTTGTTGTTCCATTGCCTGGAATGCCTCTCTCCCCTTATCTCCGGTGCACTTTTGACTTGCCCCCTCTAAAATTTAGCTCCATATCTTTGTGATTCTTTCTTTTCCTGACACTTGACTCGGGATCCCTGTTATATACTCATCACAACTAGTCTCTATAGCACTTTGCTGCCTCTCTGCCTCTCAATTAAACATGACTGTCTCTGTCTTTTTTTTTTTTATTTTATTTTTTGTCTTCTTGACATCTACCACCCAGAATGTACTTAGTAAATGTTTGATGATGAAATCAAGGACAGCTAAAACACTTTTGAAAATTCTCCCTGGTGCAAAGCAGATTGTAGATTTCTGAGGCAAAGGATATGGTAAAGGTTGATGGTAAAAACACAAGATTGAATAGGAAGGAATAGGTCTGGGTGGTATTCATTCGAATGTGTTTTTAATGGGGCTCGGAAAAAAAATGAACTCTGAATCACCTTTCACAACAGAGGGATACCTGGAGCAGAGTCTGAAGCCAGAACTCTAGGGCATTTCTTACCTAACAGCTTCTGCTGAGCAATGCTAGCTGGGTGTGGCCTACCTTGTTGTCCTATGCCTTGTCTGTACAGATTACTGAAAGAAGAGCTGAGCCTAAAGGTTAGCATTAGAGGCTTACTGAAGCTTGTAAACACTTTACCCTTAAATGAAACTCTATTATTTGTGAAATAATTTGTTTTACATTCATTTCATTATGGCTATAGTTGTCTTTTCCTAGCTTTGGATCTTTGGGTGTTAGAACTCAGAATTTAGTAGTAGGGTATTTTTAGCATTTGCCTTTTAAAAGTTACCATTTATTGAGGACCCATTAGTTACCAGATGAGGTACTAGGCTCTTGTACATCATTTCTATGTACATATGAACGAAGTGATTCAGTGGTGCCCACGTTCACACACAGCTAGTAAGTGATGAAACCAGAGTTCTAAATTTAAGTTCAGCCCTGGCTGGTGTGGCTCAGTGGATTGAGTGCCAGCCTGCGAACAAGAGGGTCACTGGTTCGATTGCCAGTCAGGACACATGCCTGGGTTGAGGGCCAGGTCCCCAGTAGGAGATGCAGGAGAGGCAACCACACATTTATGTTTCTCTCTTTCTCCCTCTCTTCCCCTCTGTCTAAAAATAAATAAAATCTTTTTAAAAAAAAATCTAAATTCATTTTTATGAAGTAGATAACTTTTGTTTCTGCCTGCCCAGCATTCTTCCTTTCCAGTAGTAAAATCCAGTTTTGTTTTGTTTTTTTTCTTTGTGGAACTGTTCCTTCCTCTTGGGGTAGAGGTGAGTTGACTGTGAGTCCCATGGCTTCACCTTCCCCAGTGGGATGGATATATGATCCAAGCAGAGTCAATTGTAGGGCTTTTGTGTGGATTTGAGGGAGAAAATGATAAGGCATGAAAATATCTCTTCTAAAACCTCAAGCATGAAGAATAGTGGGAGCCTGAAACATTACCTTCTATTTGCATCTTCTACAACTAGTCTTTATTTGTGTGAGAAATATGAAAACTCTGTAGTCATTTATTAGGAGCGAATACAGAAAGTGACCTATTGAGTGTTTACTATGTATCAGAGAGAGGTCTAGGCACTTTATACTACACATTGTATACATTTTCATTTCATTCAGTCTTTATATGTTTATAATCTCAAACTCTAGAAGAGGGAATGTATCAGTCAGGATAGGCTAGGTTTTTTGTTTGTTTGTTTTGTTTGTTTTTAATCTTCACCCAAGGATGTGTGTATTGATTTTAGAGAGAGGGGAAGGGAGAGAGACATCAGTGTGAGAGAGAAACGTTGATTGGTTCCCTCACATGCACCCCGACCAGGGATTGAACCTGCAACCCTTAGGCATATGGGATAATGCTCCAACCAACTGAGCCGCCTGGTCAGCGTGAGGATAGGCTAAGTTGTGCTGCAATAGGAATCCCCAAATCTCAACATAGCAAAGGTATATTTATTGCTCATATATGTCCACCATGAATTGGCAGGGAGGTTTTGTCATCCATAGTCACTTGGAAACTCAGACTAATAGAAGCCCCATCACTGAGACAGGGGAAGGCATGTGACCAAAATGCACGCTGACTCTTAAGGCTTAAAATGTCATGGATCACTTCTCTCTTTTCACTACCCAAAACAAGGCACATGATTGCACCTAATTTCATGGAGGTGGAATAGTACCATTCTATGTGCCTGGAACAAGGGAGAGATAAGTTTGGTAAGTTGAAATAATAGCATCACATGGAGAATTTGCCCATTTCTGAAAAGGCTTTGTTCATAACCATTTAGCTTGTTACCATTACTTAACCACATGAGTCATTGTACCTAAAATTTGGAATGGAATAATGAAGATTTCATTTTCATTCTAGTGCCATAGGGATTCTCTGTCGGCTGAAGGGAATATAATCTGGTGGCAACACAAGCACTGAGTTCACTCCTCAAGCCCACCCTGTGGGGGGTTGTTGTTAGGAATAAATGACATAGTGTGTGTAAAGTACCTGGCATACAATGCAGCCTCAATAAATATAGATAAATGTTAGCCGTTGCCATGGGTTTGGGGAGATGAGAGTAAATGAAAGACTTGTTTATGCTCCCAGTCCTGACTTCTTCATAACACATTCCTTCCTAGCCTATAATCTGGCCTCGGCCCTTCCCTTTTGACTTTTTTTTTTATCTTCACCCGAGGACATGCTTATTGATTTTAGAAAGAGGGGAAAGGAGGGAAATAGGGAGAGAAGCATTGCTGTGATAGAGAAATACCTATTGGCTGCCT